CTTCTTCTCCTCCTTCTCCTCCTCCTTCCTTCTCTTCCTTCTCCTTCTCCTTCCTTCTGCTTCTCCTCCTCATTCTCCCCCTCCTTCTCCTTCTTCTCCTTCTTCCTTCTGCTTCTCCTCCTCATTCTCCTCATTCTCCTCCTCCAGGCACTTGCTGAAATTATTTGTGGAAATCCACTATTGGGAGAGGGTGCTGTTTGAGATCCCTCATTACGTGGTAGAGGTGTACGAACGGAAGGAAGACCTGAGGAACTTGAGGGAGAACCTCCTGCTGGTGGCCCGTGACTACAACAGGTTAGTAGCTCTGGGTCCCCGTCAGGTGTGGAAGGTCCTCGGGACCTGCTTTCTGTTGCCGGGTCCGTAATCCCTGTCTAATCTTGTACGAGGGTAGACATCTACCTCAGCTTCGCAGCCAATAAATAGGGCAACCTTTGGCACTCTCCTCCCTTGAGGCCTAGAGGCTGATCCAGTTACTCAGTCTTGCCCCCAGAAGTTGTGGGTGCTCCACCACTGGAGGCTTTTTAAAGAAGAGGCTGGACAAACCCCCTTGTCTGAAATTGTCTAGGATCTCCTGCTGGTCACCACGATGTAAAAAAGATGTTGAGACTCTGGAAAGAGTGCAGAGAAGAGCAACAAAGATGATTAGGGGACTGGAGGCTAAAACATATAAGGAACGGCTGCTGGAATTGGGGATGTCCAGTTTAATGAAGAGAAGGACGAGGGGGGACAGGATAGCAGTGTTTCAATATTTGAGGGACTGACCCAGGAGAAGGACCAGGTCACCTCTGTAAGGGTGGCCAGCAAAATAACCGAGTGGGAAAGGAGCTTAAGAGGCCTTGTAGTCTGACCCCCTGCTCCAGCAGGAGACCCGGGAGGTCCCGAAGAAGGACCTATCCCAAATCCGATAAAGACTCTGCTCACGAGGGAGAGCAGACCGTCCGTCGTCTTCTCCAGGAGAATTCGGCTGACTTCCTGAGATGTTCCTTGTGGAGGTGTGTGCTTGGCAAGCAGGGTCCCTGTTTTTTGTTTTCTTTCTGGAGTGCGACGGTGGGGAGGGGTGTGTGTGTGTGTGTGTGTGTGTGCGTGTGTGTCGTGGGCTCCCGCCGGAGGAAACGTGGTTTGCAACGAGCTTTTTCTTGGCAGCTGCATTCTCGTCATGACACACGTGTGTGAAGCTGGTCTTTTGTGCCTGTTTGATTTTCTCCTCGGAAATTAATTAGGGACCAGGTGGGTGGTTGGGGGGAGGCAGCTGGGCAGGAGGAAGGGGCCTGCTTGCAGCTGGTGCTCAAGGAGGGATTGAAACGGGCCCCGTGCGTGCGTTAGGTCTTCCCGGGGATTACTGTTACCATCATCCACATCCCACGTAGGTTGGGGCCAGGAGGGCTGCGGGTAATGGGCAGGGAAGACTGGAGATTTTAGGACAGGGTTTCTCAGTGTTGGGCACATTTAAGACATTTGGACTTCATCTCCCAGAATTCCACGCTTAAGATGGGTGGACTTCATCTCCCAGAATTCCACACTTAGGTTGGGGCCAGGAGGGCTGGGGGTAATGGGTTTGTAGTCCAACATGCCACCGGGGCAGGGAAGAGTGGAGGTTCTAGGTTTCTCAATGTTGGGCACATTTAAGACATTTGGACTTCAACTCCCAGAATTCCACGCTTAAGATGGGTGGACTTCATCTCCCAGAATTCCACACTTAGGATAAGTGGACTTCATCTCCCAGAATTCCACACTTAAGCTAAGTGGACTTCAACTCCCAGAATTCCACTCTTAAGATAGGTGGACTTCATCTCCCAGAATTCCACTCTTAAGATAGGTGGACTTCATCTCCCAGAATTCCACGCTTAAGATAGGTGGACTTCATCTCCCAGAATTCCACACTTAAGATAAGTGGACTTCAACTCCCAGAATTCCATTCTTGATAGATGGACTTCAACTCCCAGAATTCCACGCTTAAGATAAGTGGACTTCATCTCCCAGAATTCCATTCTTAAGATAGGTGGACTTCATCTCCCAGAATTCCACGCTTAAGATAAGTGGACTTCATCTCCCAGAATTCCATTCTTAAGATAGGTGGACTTCATCTCCCAGAATTCCATTCTTAAGATAGGTGGACTTCATCTCCCAGAATTGCACGCTTAAGATAAGTGGACTTCAACTCCCAGAATTCCACGCTTAAGATGGGTGGACTTCATCTCCCAGAATTCCACGCTTGATAAGTGGACCATCTCCCAGAATACCACACTTAAGATAAGTGGACTTCACCTCCCAGAATTCCACGCTTAAGATGGGTGGACTTCACTTCCCAGAATTCTACTCTTAATTGGGTGGACTTCATCTCCCAGAATTCCACGCTTAACCTGAGTGGACTTCAACCATGCTGGCTGGGGAATTCTGGGAGTTGCAACCTTGCTTTGAAGATCCGTGACTGAAGGACCCTTGAGGGACGTTCAGGGTTTTGGGATGGGCCAAATTTTCCAGGTTGTCCTTAAGGAACCCAAAACTTCTCAGAGGCTGCGCAATCTACTCTAGTCTCTCTGGCCAAGACCAGGGATGGGAGTGAATTATGGAAACGAGGAACATCTGGAGGAAGGCCAGCTGCTACTTATTGTATTTTGATGGCGAGGCCTGGAGTGCGTCACAACTTCCGTCTTGGGGAAGGAGAAGCTGGATCTTAACACCTTCCACCCTTGGTTGGCTACACAGGATCATCAGCATGCTGTCCCCGGAGGAGAGGGGCCTTTTCCGGGAACGCATCCGCTACCTGGACCGGAAGATCCAACCTGGCCTCAAGAAGCTCCACTGGTCCCTCAAGGGGGCCAGCACGGTCTTCATCTCGGAGTGTCGTCTCCATGCCAGCAAGGTCAGGATATGGGCTCCTTCGCCCCCAGGGACCAGGATGTCTTGCGAGACAAGAAAAAAACACAAGGGTTGACATCCCAAGACCCACAACTCACTTGGCAGCAGATTTGCCCCCCTCCCAGCTGCTTCGTCCACTCAGTACAGGGGGGCTGTGAAAGATGGAGGACACCAGGGTAGCGTGTCCCTCCTTCTGAGGTTCTGCTCCGGCAAGGAGTTCCTTGCTCCCCTTTTTGTGGAAATTATGGCATTACCTATCCTCATGTAGGCTTCACCTCTGCCTTGGTTGCCCTCTTTGGTAACCATCAGCCACCTCTGAGGTCAAAGCCATCTCCTGCTCCTCTGACTATGTCCTCCAGGACAGAGGAGATGCTCTTGAGATACCTTCAGGTCTCGTGGGCCAGCCACATCTTCTCCTCTTGCCATTCTGAGCGTGGTCCTCCATGCCCACTAGAACCACCTCTTCCCAACCTCTGCGGCTCTTCTTCCATCTTCTCTCCTGATGTCCTCCCTCGCTCTTCCCGCAGGTCCAGAACATTGTGAATGAATACA